GGCGCGGCTTGGGTATCACAAGGGCTTGGAGTCAGATGATTTTGGAGGGTCGGGTCCTCTTGACTCTCAGCTCACAGGAGAGAGGGACCAAGTCAAACGCACCCCCTTCTCATCTTTGCTGTCCACCTCTCCCCTTACAATTAATTGTAATTGTACGGCTTCCTCTTTCCCTGTTTTTCCATTTTGTTTTTATCGGGAGTTCTTTCTTCCCTTTATGGTTTCTGTCTTCTGGTATTTTGAACCATATTTCTCCTCTGCATCCCTAATGTCTAAGGTTTTGAAATCCAGGTGGAGAAGGAATGGCAGAAAAGGTAGTGTTTCGGAATCCGCTGCGCTCAGAGACGCGAGGCGGTTAAGAGTCTCTCTCTTCCCGGCAGCCGCTGAAGAACGCAGGCTGCTGGGGTTCTCTTGCCTACCCCGCTGCTCCAGGCTGGGCTTCCCGAGTCTCCCCCAACCCCAGGTGGCTTGGTAGGGACAGCACCTGCGGGCTTAGGACTCAGAGACACTCGGTGTTGCAGTCTAAGCCAGTTCGGGACCCTCTGACCTCTCATTCCTCGGCAGCTGCCCAGGAAACCCAACAGTAAGGGCGGATGTTCCACCTGCCAGAGCAGAGCCCTTGGTTTCCAGTCCCACTAAGTGGGGGCTCCCAATTTGGAAACCGAGAAGGCCACCGGGTGCCAGGCTCGAGGCCGCTGCCGCCGCCGATTGCCCCATTTTCCGCGGCCTAAAGCCGCCTAGAAACCCTGCACCTAGAGCGATTAACCTACAGCTGCAGTTACTCAGCAATCTAACTGCAAGACTTCTGCTGCGGAGTCAGGCTAGACAAGGTCGGCAACCTGCAGCCACTGCCCCATGGCCTCAAGCGAGTTTCGGAGAAAGCGGGCACATCTCATGCCCCCTTCATCTCTCTCCCATCTCATTCTGGGGAGACCAATACAAGCTTGGGAGAAGCCCCTGGACAGAGGCCTCCAGTCGAGAGACTCCCGGAGGCCTGAACCTCTTATCTTACACCTCCCATCCCCGTAGTCTTCCCATCCTTGGTCCCACTCTTCTCCCCCTCCCCGCCCTATAAACCCGGACCATCAATAATTTAGGCCCCGGGAGAACTCGCGTTACCGGTATGAAAAGGCGGCAGCTGCGGGCAGATTAAAGATGAATAATTCAGCCTCACCGGGCTCCGGGCCCGGCCCCTCTGCCCCAATATCTGGGATGGGGATTGCAACCGGGCACGGCTGGGGTTCAGGGCCGATGGTCCGCGGAGGATCCGCGCTGAATCAGGCCTGGAATATGCTACTGCCGAAGGCGCCGACCCGGGCTGTAGCTGCTCGCCCGCCAGGCCGCCTCGCCGGCCCGTGCAGTGCCCTCTCCCTTTCTTCGACCACCTTTTGCTGGCTTTGCTCCCCTTTTGGTTTCGAAGTGGTTCCCTGAAACTGGCCCTGACTAGCGCGTCCCGGAAGCAATCCTCAAAAAAACACTGAGCGAGGCAGTGGCAGCAGGGCCTTGGTGAACCGGCCAGCGCGGGGACTCTGTTTCATTCCCTACGAAAAAGAGCTAAGCTTCTCGGCTGGGTGAGACACCCACAGTGGCCCGAAGTCCCTCGCTTGGGTTTCCTTTACCTAGAAATTATTTAGGGAACTATATTTTATTCCAGGAGATTTTTTTTAATCGTCCCATAAAGTTAAACGTGTGCTTAGGAAACAAATAAACAAAACACGGCTCTCTCTTACTGGATCACATTTTAAAGCCCAGATCAAGGCTAGGTCTAAAAAGTTACCTTGTGGAAAGTTACAAATTATCCTTAATTATTAATCTATAGATGGGAAGGGCTTTTCAACTTAGAATATTATTTATCTTTTTAAGCAAAGGCTAGTTTCCCAAGTTAAAGACCTGGCATGAATTAGATAAATTAAAAATTCATTAAGATATTCCCCCCTGCATCCTATTTTTCTATCTATTCTCCCATAACATCCTTTTAATTTTCTTTCCTTGATCCCCCCTCTTGATTTGATTTCCCTCTCCTTTCTCCTTAGCTTTAGCATTTGCCTTTCTTTTGTTCTTTCCATCTCGTTTTTTCCATTCTTGCTAACCCCCCTGGCCAGGGCGCTGGCTGCATGGTCCTCAACAGATAGTAGAGACAGGCAAGGAAGTCTCCAAAATGCAGAGCATCCAGGAGCTGGCTTGGGAGGCTCTACTACTTGCTTTCTCCCTGACTTTGATTTCTTCTCAAACCCCCTTATTGGTTTTAGAACGACCACTTCCCTGGGCAAGTCAAGAAAAGTGACCACTTTCTCCTGCCAATCTCATGTTCCTAGCTGGAAGGGAAGGGAGGGAGAAGGTGGAGAGGTGAAGATGAAAGAAAGAGGATGGAAATATTTCAAAGCCGTCCCCACGAAGCCTTGACTAAGCTGGAAGGAACCAGAGATGCTGTGAGGTTAGACTCAGAAGGGGGTCACACCCCCCAGGAGCTTCTACATAGCTGTCTTGACTCCAAGGCTGCTCAAACTAGGAACCTCCTCCTGATCATCAAACTCTTAAGTTTGAGAAAGGTAGACATGAGAGAGAGAGACAGAGAGAGAGAGAGAGAGAGAGAGAGAGAGAGAGAGAGAGAGAGAGAGACCCCAAACCTGCCAATTAATCCTCCAGTCCAGGGAGTAGAGGGTGGCTGGAGCCTTGGGCCCAGGGCTATGGGTCCCGCGAGGTAAGGAGGAGCAGGTGGAAGGGGTAAAGGCAGGCGAAGCACTAGGGAAGGTAGAAAGGCAGACAGAATGATACGCATGGGGTGGCGAAAAGCAGGAGAGAGAGTGGCTGAAAGGCATGAGAAACACTAGGTAAGAGAAATAGGCAGAACGCGAAAGGAGGGGCCGGGGGAAAAG